GCTTTTACAATGACAATTATCTATATTGACAGTAAGAGAAATGGAAATAAAAATGAATTATGTAAAGCAAAAAAAAAAAGAGTTTGCAAATAAACCGGGGAAGTGGCTAGCATATAAATTACCAAAAAAAAAAAAAAAAGATATTGAAATTACAAAAAGGAGATACTGTATTAATGGACAATGTGGCCATACAAAAAGCATTTCATCATTATTATTCCAATCTGTATAAAGGAAGTGACATCTCTCTAGAGGAAGAGAGACAAATTATAACAGTAAAGGAAATTTCTGAAGCTATAAAAATGATTAAATTAGGAAAGGTGGCTGGAACAGATCGATTATTAGGTTCTTATTATAAATGTTTTGAAGATGAACTTTTACAACCTTTACAAAACACAATGAACTCTATCCTAAAGGGAGGAAAGATGCCAGCGAGTTGGACAGAGGCCAATATAGCATTAACACCCAGAGGGACAAGATTTGACTTTAACAAGAAACTATAGGCCGATATCATTATTGAATAATGACTACAAGTTGTTCACAGTGATTCTAGATGATAGACTGAAAATAATTTTGCAAGAATTGAATTCATAAGGGTCAATGTGGGTTTTTACTTAAAAGACAGTTAAAGGACAATGTTAAAAATGTGTTGGATGGTCTCCCTGTTTCTAGCCTGGTGCTTTAACCCCTACATCAAACTGGCTCTAGACTAGAGAAATGAGAAAAGTTTCTTGCTGAAGTTCATGTCAGATTGCTCAAAATCTGACAGAGTACACATTCCAGCAGTGATCTTGGCTAGATCAAAAAGGTGGTGAGAGTAGAATTCAAAGTTGGTGACATTACAGATGCAACTCTTATTTTTGTATAGCGTATTATGAAGAAACGCCACAATTTGCATTCCTCTTTTCCATCTTGTACAAATTCTTTCCACCAATTTTGCAAGTAAGTAACTTCAGTAACCTGGAGAATGAGGAGGGTGGCCGTTCAGATTAGGCTTTCTAAGGTAAGCATGGGAGAGGGGAAGGTCTGTATACATGCATGGAAGAGAGAGGCAGAGAAAACAAAAGCAGTTCGGAAAGTAGTGTTGGTACTGTGATTTTAATGCTGTGTGTGCTAAATATTCTTGGTTCCTCTTAATCTGGATTTTGCTACTTAACTCCTGGTTGCCTTTTGTTATCTGAGCAGTCTTGTCACCATATCTGGTCCTGTCTCACCAGCAGTTCACATACTGATCACAACGGGATCTTTTTATATATTAGAGATGGGAAAAGGTCCAAGCAAAACATTGTAGTCGTAGGGCAAACTTGTGCCATTACAGCTGACATGCTCCGGGCAGAATGATCATCCTTTGCTAAAGTCAGTGGCATCAGCAATCACTGCATTCAGTTTGGAGCTCTAAGTCTAAAAGCTACTGTGGATTTGTCTGAATGATCAGAAACTGCATAAGGTCCTGTATCTGCTCACCAGTGGTGTGTTAGCATTCCCCTCCCCTGGTCTAGCAGATCTACCACCGTTGCTCTGGCTCATTCTGGCAGGTACAACCATAGAGGCCCTCTGGGCTGTGCTGGAATTGCCCAAGCATTTCTATGCCCTTTCTTCCATGA